CTGGTGACCTGTGGCTCCAAGGAGGTCACTGACTGGTCTCCAGTTCTGCATGACTGGGCTTTAGCAATTAATTTCAGAGTGACTGTGATTCATCCCAAGTGACCACTCACCAGCGAGCTAGGCTCTCCCTCACTGATTGGTGATTTCCAGATAATCAAGGACCCCTCTATAGGCTCGAGGCCTGTTTAATGCAGCCACTGTTTGAGCTTCTTGCAGGACTTTTTGGGATCTTTACTTTTGTTTCCAGACTTCTTCTTTTCACTGCAAACTTTGCTGTTCAAGTTCATCATCCCAGAATACAAATGTTCTAATATTTGTTTAAAAAATTGTCCAACTGTTTTATCATTGAACCTTGTCTCTGTACTGAGTATAGCGAACCTAAGTGCCTTCTTGATGATTAGTGTTACATCCAGTATTCTCTGGGTGAAATCCCCAGGGTGGCGTTGTCTTTTAAACTGTGAAGAATATTTACTTTATTCCCACCTCGTGCTGCCTCATTTGCTATACAAATACAGCTAGAAGCACACCTGGATTGTCACACTGACAAACCTGCCACTGACTTCCTATTGTGGACTTTGTGGGCATGTAACAGTGTCCTCACACCTCACACATTTGGTGTCTCTCTCTGTCATGCACAAATGTACTTTGAGCAGTACTTGAAAAGTGCTCTTGCACAACATAGTGAGGTTCATGATTTTATGGATTTTGTGGCTTATTGTCCTCTCACATGGCTTATAGATTTGTTAATTAGTTAGTACAGCGATATTCACTGAGTTGGCTCTTGTTGAGGACATATTAAATCCCTGCCATGAGTGTTGTGATTTAGAGGTTTTCACACAAGTAGCCTCTGCTGGGGTTAATCTATTTTCTTTAACCAGGCAAGTCACTGAGGACAAATTGTTATTTATAACAACGTTTAGCTCTCTCACCAAGAAAAGAGTAAATAAGTGTTTTTCCTAGAATTTCCAGTGCATTTAAAGGAACAGCTACAAGGCTTTTGCTCTGCAAGTATTAATGCTCGATGTCACAAACATTAGGCTTGACATGAGCCTAAGTTGGCTCTAAAGTTTTGGACCCTAAATTCACAACCCAACAACAAGACAGACTGTTGTCAGCAAGTTTATTTACACAATATTCTGAGGTGTAATTAGAAAACTTTAATCATGCTTCTTGCTGTTTTCTAGAGACTGCACTGGGTTCCTCAGATAACTTGGAGCACCGGAGGAAGGACAGGCAGGTGCGACTGGCAGGTAACTTCCCTTAGTTCCCTTTTCATTAAATACAGACCATCTTGTCAATCCTGGGATAAGTTTTTCTCTTAGATGAGTTGCTCAACATGTAATTCAAGGGTATGAAGACAAAGAAAGAAGATTTTAGTGCAGGAATAGCAATCGAGCAATCTCTGAGAGCTAGTGTAGCCTGATTACCATGATGATTGATGCAAATCTGATGGTCACTGATCACCAGATGGTCCACAAGCATGATGAGCAAGAAGCGTGAACAGGGAAGGCTCCAGCACTGGGTGAAGCTCGGAGCAAGAGCCACCCATAGTCAGCTGCAGGGGGGAAAGCTGAAAGCCCACAGAAGAAATCCAGGCAAACCCTAAACCATGACAAGGTTCCCAAACCCAATAAAGACTCCAAGGTAAAAATGCCCCTCCATGGGTGAAAATGTAGCTCTGACCAGAATAACACCTGATGAAAACCAAAAGTGAAATGTGGCAGCTTCTTTCTTATCTCTGTCAACAAAAATCCCATCAGGTGTCTTGGGATGCACAGAAGAACTAATTATTTTTTAAATAAACCAGCTCCTCATTTGTGTATTTAGTTCTGCAGACAAGCCATTGAACAAATGTTGATCATCTCAAGACAACAGAGAAGTTCTTATGTAGTGCTTTTCTACTCAAAGGTGCAAAGTGCTTTACACAGCTTACTTGAAAACATCACAGAGCAACTTGTAGTTCAGTATCTTGCACTTTAGCATGCAGACTGGAACAGCAAGAGATTGAACCCCTAACCACCTGCTTAGTAGATTTCTTGCTCGATCTGCTGAACCACAGCAACCCCGAGTTGTTCTCTAAACTGGAGGCTGTGGTGTTCACAGAAGTCTCTTCCCTGGCGATGGAAGTGTAACCTCACGTTGGTGACAAATCTTTTTTGCTTTGCGAGTTTTCAAATCACAGCTGCTCATTTAATAGTTTCTTCAAGCAACAAGTAATTAAGCCTAAAAGATTATTTGCCTTTTAAGCAGCTCATTATCATTTGCTCTTAGTTAACCTCTCATTAGAGTGATTTTAAAATTTTTCCTTTAATTGAAGGATTTACTTGCTCAGAGGGAACTTTGCACACCTTGACCTTACTTGCTGCAAACAAAGCTGCCTTTCTCCATTCTTGAAAAGTTACAGTCTTTTCAGCCAGCAGCAAATGCTGGTGAAGCAACCATAACTAAATTACTTTCTCAATTATTTATAATGCCTTTCTGGAAGATGGCTGCGAGTAAAACATGCCTCTGCTGGAGTTTTATCATTTTGTTGATATGCGTGCCCGCAGGCTCTGCCGGCAGCCAGTTGTGCCAGAGTGAACCGAGCCGCAGGCCCAGAGGCCGGAGGCCCGAGGGCCCCATTTGCCCCGGAAGAGGCCTGACCGAGCAACAGGCACCAGGCCCTGCCAAGTAGTCACCGGGAGTGAGCTGGTACATACCTGAGCGCCCAGCCCCGGACACCAAGAACCACCAACCCACCGACCACTGAGGGCATCAGTTACCGGCAGGCAGTGTGGTGAGGGGAGATAGGCCTTTCAGGGCCTGGGAGTTCCCAGAGAGGTGGAGTGTAAGACCCGACCTGACATATAAACACAGACAAACAGGCACACACAGACACAAACATGCATTCCCACCCTCATGCACACATATACAAATATACTCAGCACTCACCCAATGTAGGGATAGACATACATGGACAATGTACAAATAATCACACTCCCCAAACAAACTCTATACCCCAGGTCCAGGTACCCTCGTCCCTGGAGGGGGAAACGGCACCTAGACCCAGGAGATGTTACACTTTCCCCCGGGGTGGAAGCAAGCAGACCGCCCCAGGCTCCGCAGCAGCAGGGAGGCCCCGCATCCCAGATCCCAATCAGACGGCCAACACCTCCTCCCAGCCCCCCGCCCCGATGGCAAGCAGAGAACAGGGGGTGTGTGAAGACCCCAAACCACCCTCCTCTCGCTGATGTGTAGTGTTGCTGCGTGTTGTTCTAAGGTGCATTTAAAACACGGGAGAGCATGGTGCTGCTGCCAGAGAGCAGCAGGTGTTAGCACGGCCCTCCCGAGAACCCTCAATGTCTACATGGATTTAAAACGTGCCCACCCCCAAGGGGGGAGGGGGGGGGAATGCCTCCCCTGCACCCTGGTGACACACCTGCACCCCAAGGCCCTACTTTTGTGGGTGGGTGTGTTGGAGCGGGAAGAGGGAGGCAGCCGGGGATGAAGTGCAGCCTTACATGTTTTGTAAGGCTGCACTTCCTCCTCTGAGGTTGACTTACAGGAAAATGAGAACAGATTTCTTTTTAAAATCTTCCGAGGGAGCATGTGTAGCCAGTGTCTTCAGGGAAATAAAAGGATTCCACCAGACTGAAGTGTTGAGGCAGAGAGAAAGCACAGAGAAGAGGTGATTAAATCATAAATTAAGCTCTTGTTAGCATTGGTAAACCTCGGCTGATGTGTTTGTGCATCTACATGTGACGAATGTTTGCAGAAATCATCTGAAGACTAAAACGCTGCCATGTTTGAGTACTGCAGGGGACACAAAAAAACTGTATAAGAGATATATATGTGATTGCTGATGTCTTACTTTCACTGCATCTGCAGGAGAGTGCAATTATAGAGAAACATTTGGTTTAGGGTGCTCTGTGTTAATTATCCAACAAAAATAAACACATAAGAGATGATAACTGTATTCCGTTTCCTGGATTAACTAAGCTGAAACCATTAAATAACTAACCAAACTGTGCCAGCGATCTGTGTCAGCTGATCCCTGCGACCCTGCACTAAGTTTTAGATCAAATAAACTAAGCTGAAACCATTAAATAACCAACCAGGCTGTCCCAGCGATCTGTGTCAGCGGATCCCTGCGACCGTGCACTGAAGTTTAAGATAAAATAAACTAAGTTGAAACCATTAAATAACCAACCAGGCTGTGCCAGAGATCTGTGTCAGCTTGTCCCTGCATCCGTGCACTGAAGTTTAGATCAAATAAACTAAGCCGCAACCATTAAATAACTAACCAGCCTGTACCAGCGATCTGTGTCAGCTGATCCCTGCGACCGTGCACTGAAGTTTTAGATAAAATAAACTAAGCCGAAACCATTAAATAACTAACCAGCCTGTGCCAGCGATCTGTGTCAGCTTGTCCCTGCATCCGTGCACTGAAGTTTAGATCAAATAAACTAAGCCGCAACCATTAAATAACTAAGCCGCAACCATTAAATAACTAACCAGCCTGTACCAGCGATCTGTGTCAGCTGATCCCTGCAACCGTGCACTGAAGTTTTAGATCAAATAAACTAAGCTGAAACCATTAAATAACTAAGCTGAAACCATTAAATAACTAACCAGCCTGTGCCAGGGATCTGTGTCAGCTGATCCCTGCAACCGTGCACTAAGTTTTGGATAAAATAAACTAAGCCGAAACCATTAAATAACTAACCAGCCATCTGTGCCAGCAATCTGTGTCAGCTTGTCCCTGCAACCGTGCACTGAAGTTTTAGATCAAATAAACTAAGCTGAAACCACTAAATAACTAAACTGAAACCATTAAATAACTAACCAGCCTGTGCCAGCGATCTGTGTCAGCTTGTCCCTGCATCCGTGCACTGAAGTTTTAGATAAAATAAATTAATATACTGTCAATTACAAGGTAGAAAGGTCTTTAATTATTCTACACTGCTCTCTAGTGTAGAAAAATTGTAAGCGTAACCTAAAACGTCATCAAAATCGCGCCGCAATCTCACACGCATGCGCAATAGTGTGGAAGGTGACAAAATTCAAACTGGGTGGCGGGTAGTTGAAGTCGGAAGACCTAGAAGAAGAAAATAAAGAGTACAATATATTTACTGTTGAGAGCTAGACCAAAGCGTTAAGAAAATGACAAGCACGTTGAAGGGAATTACTCTCAAAGGAAGCGCGGAGTTAGTAGCCGAGTTCTTTTGTAAGTATTTCTGTTATTTCGTCTTTTAGTCGCTCGTTTTCGACACGCATGCATGTAACGCTAATATGCTATTGGGCCTACATAGTGCCCGATAACATATTAGCATCAACGCAGCATGTATGCACTCACATGGCAAGCATAGCTCCAGTTGATGAAAAATAAAGTGTTTAAGCCTGATGTGTCCTATAAGCGTCAACTCACAACTTCAAACCGAATAATTTGTAAAGACTGTCTAGTTGTCTGCCCTTCTATTGAGAATCGTGAACGTACACCATACATCGTTTCTATTCTACCGAGCTAATATATTAATTGATTCCCAGTTAGTTTTCTCTCGTGTTATTCGCTTTCTTGTGTAGTTGTTTTTGTAATCTTCTGTGCCTTTCAAGTTTGAATCATAAGCCTCTAAAGTTTACGAATACTGGAATTCCGGCGTATTTGAAGCCTTTGATTTCCCCATTGTCATTCACAGCTTTCGGCATCAACAGCATCTTGTACCAACGGGGCATCTATCCTCCAGAGACATTCACCAGAGTTACCCACTATGACCTGAGTCTCCTACTAACTACCGACCCCAAGCTGAAGAGCTATCTGACTAACGTGGTGTCTCAACTTAAAGGTATCTCAATAGTGGGCTTCCCCACTCGTGACACAACTAAGGAGAAAGTGGAATAACTGTGGAACTGAGTGAGCTAACCAACTGCGGTCTGAAGGCACTCCAGTTGTAGTTTTGGGCTTCGAGTTCTGTAGCTATATCTACAAGGCTGCTGGCTTACGGCAAGAAATCTTACTCACGGTTATTTTGGTCACTATGGAGATGCTTTTTTTCTTCGTTTTACATATTTACTCTTAGACCTTGAAAAAAATGTGGACATATTGTACTTAAGAAAAAAAACAAAACTTCAGTCTACTTTACTTTAAGTGGATTTCCTTGAACACCAGATAGAAAAGAAAAAACGTAATTGGCGAGATCTGAGCTCACAGCTTGGTGGGGAGTGACTTTGGATTTTTATGGAGAAGGCAAAGTAAAGGCAAAATCCGTAGTGAAGTACAAAATAAGATGATGTTTGTGAACAATGAATGATTTTGTCAATTTATTTTGCTAATTCGGTGATCGTCTTTACTCAATAAATAGTAACTTGTTAGTTGCGATTGCTGAGTAGGGCCACGTGGTGGTGCATTTCCCCTCCCCTTTTTGTTGTGTTGAATTAGATCAGAGTCAGAATCGGAAAGACTTTATTTATCCCCAAGGGGCAATTAACGTACAGCAGAGCAGCATGATGTTGAAGATGAACGCAGATGCCTATGAGACTCATGCCTGAGATTTTAATTGGTATGACCTGGCATCTTATGATCAATGTTAAGTAACATACAAAGCAGCACACGTGAGTTTCCATTCCCATGTTACACAAAATTGTGTTAAGCTACTCTTAGGCTCTTGTCAGGTGAACTACAAGCTATTTCTGGTTAAAAACGCTAGATTTTTGATTTACCAATTTTTGATTTTGCCATAAATACTTATGTATGTGAATGAGGAAGGAGATCGGTGCACCCTTTTCTGTCCAAGGTGATGCCATTGTAATATTTTATTTTTTTCCTAAATCCAATGCCCGCAACTGTTGATGGCTGCCTCCTCAGGTTTCTTCCTGTTAAAAAGAAGTTTTTTTTATTCCCATCAATGCCTAGTGCTTGCTGTTCTGGGATCATCTGATTGTTTTTCTTTTTAGGCCTGTGGGGTCTTTACTTTAAAGTATAAAGTCTCTTGAAGCAACTGTTGTGATTTTTAGTGCAATGTAAATAAAACTAAATGGAGTAAATATCTCTGGATTGTCAGTTCAAGTTTAATGTAATTCGTACCAGAATATTCATATTTTTGGGTGCATATGTCAAATCACTCAAGCTCTCAATTGTGTAATGCTAAGAGTAGTGAAATTACAGAATACAAATCAATCATCATTTTTCTCACAGAAATTGTGATCTCTTGGATACTATATCCAAGAGATCAATATTTTGTATCCACAACTATTGTGGATACAAAATTCTGTGCATGTTTGTATTATGTTTTTAGGGTATTTAACTACCTCTCACTTTGCATAACAAACTTTAATAAGTGTTGCTTGCTCTTTTGGTGTTGCAGAGTGGCTGTTTGAGTGCACTGTGCAAAAGCTGGTGTTGGTGATCACGTGTCTGGAAACCAACGAGGTGCTCGAGAGATGGCAGTTTGACATTGAGTGTGACAAGTCGGCTAAAGAGAGCAGGTCAGGACCTCTATTACCTTTTTTGTTTGTTTGTTTGTTTTGTTTTAAAGGCTCCATGCTAATGGTCATTAATTTGCTGTCTTCTAATTCCAACACCTGGCATGTTGCACTTGTACTTCCCCCACCGTCAGTTTGAGTGGAGTGATATATTATATAAATTGTTTTGAGCTTCAGGTACCCCAGGTGTGGACTATCAGGTTCCTGATTGGCAGTACCTGTGCGCATGGACTCTGCAACAGTGATTAGCTTGTCTCATTACAGAGAGATATTGAGATGAGATTCTGCAACCAGTGGCAATCTGGGACATGAAAGATGATAATGCTCAGCCCACCGAAGAGTGTGGTTTATCAAACTGCCGCCAGAATTTGGGAGTAGGGAGGATGCAATGGTCTGCCTACAGTCTAACCAATTGTCGTTTAGTTTTGTGCTGTTTGTGCCAAAGTGATCAACATAATTAAGCTGGCTGGCTTACAACAAATGCTGGTGTGATCAGTATGAGAAGGAGCTGCCAGGCTGTTCTCCAATCAGTTGTAGCAGATGACTGCCTCTTCCTGAGCCTGGTTCTGCTGGAGTCGTCTTCCTCTTTAAGGACAGTTTTTGAGAATCTGCTATATCTTGACATGATTGTGTTGCACAGTTCTTAGATGCACATTCATGCTGTTGTTACTCAAGCAATGATATTAAAACCTTAACTGGTATTTGGCAAATTAAGGTCAACCCCTGCAGCAGCATGAACTCATGCTGTGTGTCATCTGCAGCCTCAGTAGCAATCTGACCAGGTTGTGTTCAGTTTTATATAAGCCCTTTCCACTGCAGTGTCAGATTTCCGTGGCTTGCAAGAGAGAATCCATTGTTGGCTTCTTAGGTTGCATCCCATGAGCCTCAACATTAGGTGTGTTGTGAGTCTGACTGCTTTTATGCTTGGCACTACTGTATAGAATTAATATAGCCATTCTGTCAACTTCACCCAATTTGGTAATTCTCCTCTGACCTCTTCAATTAGCACTGGATCTTTTAGATCAGTAGTTTAGTTTCTTAAATCAGAATAACTCGTACTGCTACTAGCTAGCATGACGGAGTTTATACAGCTGGGTGGATGCTATGATGTTACTGATAGTGAACTTTATTTTCTTCATAAGGTTAGTTAGTAGAGTTGCCAAACGCCCCGTTAAAAAAAAGAATCGTCCCGCATTCAGAGAAAATATTACGCGTTTCGTATTGAGCTGAAAAGGAGCACAGTTTGTCCCGTACTTCAGCTACAATGAAAAGATAAACACACAAAGCTGGATTTATTCTGTCGTTACGCTGTACAGCTGCCTCTTCTTCTCTCATCCGCTCCCCTCCCTCTCCTGTTGCTACTTCAATCATGAAACTGATCAATGATCAGCTGATCGTCTCTCTTGTTTGTTTTTTATTGCCCACTTTGCGCCAGAAAGAGGAACCTGCCGGATGTCGCGTTAAACAACAGCAGCATGTTTAAGCTTGATCAGCTGTTAGAATTTATTTAATATTAATTTCTACTATCAGCTGATGTTTGCTGGAGCCACAGCTGTAGAAGCTGCTGGTCATGGTGTCGGTTTGGATATGTGGTGAGAGGGAAACATGAAGATGAAACCAGGAGATGTCCTTACTGAATCATCAGAGCCGAACAGGTGATGGAGAAACAGGTTTACCTTTTAGGTGACATGAATGAGCTGAAGGGAAGTTATAAGGGAAGGAAGAAATACACAGATACATCTGTAGATTTGAGACAGAATTCACAATGTGTTTTTGGGACTTTCAGGTGTTTGGACCAATGTTTTATTTTCTGATCAAACCAGAAAGCTTTAATGAGCAGCTAGACTTGTCTCACATTAACTGGCTGAGTTAATGCCAGTTAATGCAACGTCGAAGCAGCTGGAATCCATATATGTGCGTGTTCATGGAGCTGCATTTTCACCTGCTGGACATCACTACCTGACAAGTTTAACTGTCTTCAAAACATTACAGAGGCCTTATTGACAGTATTTGGTTCTACATATCTGTGTGAGCAGATTTTCTCTCACATGAGTGTCCTCAGGTAGCCGTCTGAATGCTGGATGCTCGGAGCCCTGTGTCTCTGAGTGGGAGACCAGAGATCAGAGTGTATTAACAAACATGCCATATTGGCTCAGTTTATTTTTCTTATCATTGTTGCGAGGAGACCATAAATAGCATTTGTATTTTCTGTTGTACAGTTCATTTGCTGTTATGGATGAAAAGTGTCTTTTTATTTTTTTGTTTCAAAATAGCTGAAAGCTGCGAACTATAAAATGGTTCTATATAGTGTGTAACTGTTAGTATAGAGCGTTATTCAATTTCTTGCTAATACAATCATATGGCACACTGACTTCTGAGGACATTTTAGATGCACTCATCATCAGAAAGGTTGCCTACCCCTGCTCTAAGGCATCTGGACAGATCTGTTTACTTACACTTATTGACAGGAGTTGAATGGTGCAGACTTTGGGTTGGTTGGCTGATTTGTCAACACAGATGTGAATTTGTATGTTTGCAGTGGATTAGTTTTTTTGTTTTGGTTTTTTGCAATAAAATGACATGAAATTTGTACTTTAGAAGAGTCTTTACAACAGATTATGTAATTTGGTTAAATGAGCATCTGTCATTACACTCAACTATTGTTTGAATAATAAATGATGCATGTTAACTGAGTTCTCATGTGTCTCCCAGTGCACCCAGAGAGAAGTCCATTAAGACAATTCAGCATGAGATCCGCTCAGTTATCAGACAGATAACAGCCACTGTTACTTTCTTGCCCCTGCTGGAGACGCCATGTGAGTAATGAGACTTTTGACATTTGAGCCTTTGATGTGGTGGTTGGGTAATAATTTCAACTCCTCCCCTCAGGTGCTTTTGACCTCTTGGTTTATACAGACAAGGACCTGGTGGTTCCAGATAAATGGGAAGAATCAGGGCCGCAGACCATTGACCAGCCAGAGGAGGTGCGTTTGCATTCCTTCACCACTTCGATCCACAAGGTGAACAGCATGGTGGCGTACAAGAAGACTGAGTCAGCTTAAACTTCTAAACCACATGAGCTGTTACAGCACCGACCACTGATTCTCATAGAAACCAGTAGATCTAACACTGCCGTGTCTTTGTTCACTGCCTGTGCGTGACTGGACAACGAGGACCTGTTTTCCTTTGTTGAGCTTCACTGTGTCTTATTTGTCAATATGATAAGGACATGAAGGAAATGTGTTCTTTCTACATTGATGTAAATATTTCTGCCACGTGGCATTTGTCTGTAGAAAACAACTGTCTTTTCTTTAGTCTTTTGCTTTCTTTCATTCTTTCAGTCTGTTTTAGAAAATAGTGGTATATATGTTGAACTTTTATAAAATGACATAAATAAATGCATTTTGCTTTTTCCCAAAGAAGTGATTCTGTGGTTTTCTTTTGTTCAGGAGGTGCCAAGGTTTTTCATCGGGTTATTTATTTTGGAGCATTATATAAAAGATATCACATGGTTTTTGGAGCCTTGAGACGATGCCGTCTTGGGGTGCATTTCAATAGTATAAGCTGACCTTTTCATCAAGGTCAAGAAAGAGAAGTTAGTTTGGAATGCACTCTTTTTGTAATGTGTTTTAATAACTGGAAAGCACACTGACATCCATTCATTGCTTGTTTAGTACATTTGAGAAATTATAGACAGCACACAGGAGACATAGTAAATAAGTATTATTTAATGGGACATACTATTCACTTCGCTCACAGTGTTGAAAGGTGTCGACAGTTGCAGATGTGTAACACCATCATAGTACCGTATCAGCATATTACATTTTGCAAAAGAAAACCCACAATTCTCTTACCTAAAAAAATCCATCCATCTGTCGTGTAATGCCCTCTCATATACATGCAAAAGAAAAAAACTGACAACCAAGCAGTGAGGGTTTTTTTTTTTTTTCCTCCAGAGAGCACAGAGGCACAAGTAAAATAGTCCTGGAGACTTATTCAATGTACAAATGACAACCACGGACACAAATTAACTTTCTGAGCATGTACATCTACAAAAGTGCTTGAGTTTAAATGAGTCTGTCATGTCCATTAGTAAGCTGTTCATTAAATGCACCTATGTGGCTCCTCATCAACAGTTTATTGGCTGGACAATTAACTGTTTTACCAGTTCTGCTGATTCAGCAGTTTCATTTACCAAAACATTTCAGAACTTTTTCTTTTCTGCATTAAAAAAAAAGAAGTTCTGAAGGGTAACAGTAGCATCCTTCAAAACTAGATATTAAACATTCTAGGTGTAGAGAAAAATGTCATAGTAATGTTGCATTTTCTATTTATTCCTAGTGTGGACATGCTGAAATCACTTTTATTGAGGAGTAATTGTTCCTTCTTGCAGGATCAGCAAAAACCTGCATTTCACAAGGTCCAAAGGTACCAGATTGTTCTTTTAAATGTGTTGGTGATGACACCTCGCCTCTGACTACAGACTGAAAACCTCTGCCTCTAAAGGGTGGACAGCAGTGAACCCAAACACATCAAAACGCTGAAACACTTAATATCTTATCTAATGAAAAAGTTGCTCCTGGATACATTCTGGGTTACACACTGAAATTTTCTGCCAAATTCTGTTGTTTAGTCAGTCTTTGTAGTGCAACAGAAACTGCTCTAAATGTTAAAGAATCCTTTTTGCCCCCTTGTAGCAAATATCTTGTTTGAACAGATTTTTACATTTACCCATCAGAGAATCAGGTTTACAGAAATAGAAATTATACACCATCACAATGTATCAGAGCTAGATGCCACCCCTGGTGAGTAAATCATACTTTATATTCTGTAGATATTACTCCGTCGTTCAGTTTGTAAAATTGGTATGCATAAACAGCATTACTGGACATGGATAAATAAAAATAAGTGGTTCTGTAAAACTGAATTGTCTACTTTATCGCAACAAGGCAGTGGCAACATCTAGATCCATTTTCCTTTGAAATCACAGATCTAATCTTTGGCTCTTCCTACAGCTGGAAAAATAGAAAATCTAAATTCCAAATAACACAATACAGTACATTTCCAAATGTCATCAGAAGAAGCAGTTGTTCCTAAGAAAGGGCCTAAAAAAAAAGACGGGATTTTTTTTCCACATATGAAAACATTTTCTAGATAATTGTGTGCTTTGACAAAAGAATGACCTTACAATATAGACTCTAATAAATATATAAAACAAAAATAAATATGCAATAGTTAAGACAGTGAATAAAATGTACGAAAGACTCAAACCCACGTCGTGTGTGTGTGTGTGCCGTGAAGACATAACAAGTCTATAAGATTATTGTGACACTAGTATACTACTAAGTATATAGTAGTTGCATTGTTTTCATCCCACTAGAATGGTGCTAATGGTGCTAAAGCTCCATGAACACTGGAAGCGACATACTGAATACAGACCATTCCAAGTGAATCACATCCCACAACTTCAAGTGATTACAGATGAAATAACCACAGGCAAATTCTTTGAATGTTCAGGCAGAGTAGAAAAGTGCTAAATAAGAATCAGTCCGTTTACCATTTCCTATTTGCTAAGGGAAGTTTTTTGTTTTTTTTTAACCGAAGCAACTACCAATAGGAATAAAGAATACATATGAACTGGAAGTAAATATGTAGAGCTTCCAGTGTATGCAGCTTAACCATTCAGTGTTCCCTAAAGTTCACTACCTTTCACAGATAGTGTAGGTGAGACCATCAATATGAAAGCCACTCTATGCAAAAATAACAATGTCTATGGTAATAAATATAGCTTAGTGCTGACTTTGTTATTATCTCTGGTGAGTGAGAAAAAATGGTGGTGACAGGATAAAATGACCATGATTTCTTGTTATGGACACATTTCATTCCTTTCTGTTCATGGTAGGGCTTAGCTGTAAAACTAGCATACAACTTTTTAACGAATGTTTGATAGTGGGGGTGGAAAGGTACAACTTTGATGTTATTTCATAGTTTATCTATTTTTATCTGTTGTGAAAAGTACTCACAAGAATTACTGATACTCCGGGAGACAGGAAAAGTGCTGACAAGTCTATGCAGATTACCAACAAGTCAACTCACTGACTTGTAGATGTTTTTACAGTTGTTTTTCTATCTTACTTTATTTTTTAACTTGTACTCATTGGCATGGCTATGCATGATCGTTTGTAATTTTCCTATATCTGAGCAAACGCTTTGCCGGGTGAGTAAACTCCAGATTACAACAAGGAAAAGAAAGACAAGCTGTGAAACCTGACTGCGGCACCTCAACCGTAATAGATTAAGTCTTAAAGTATTAAGACTGCTCAAGGCAAGTGACCTCTTCTATTATCAGACCATAGCTAGTGTTTTATTTCATGATAGGAAAATTACTTTTCTACCTCACTGTCAGTCCACACAATACGCTATTAGATAATTTTAATGAGACTAGGTTGAAAATGTAGAACTCTGGAAATCTGAGTTGGATGAAAACCAAACTGGTGTTTGGATCACACCAAGCCGTTGACAAGCCCCTTCTCACACTCCTCGGCTAAACACTTCCACTGCTGCCGGTTTTTCTGACATCCTTCCAACAACGGGGAGCAATACTCCGATAAGCCAGCCAAGGTCTGTGACAGTGATAAAGACAATTCAGCATGGGAAATCAGAGGCAGAACTGAATGCAGGAAGAATTGCTATTCATCAGCTACGCTGGTCAGCAAAAATAGCAAGGGCTGAATTACCTCATACAACTGAATGCAAATGGTATCAATGAAGGACACCTGCATGCTTGGTATCTTATCCCTTTTCTCACGATTCATCAGGTCCTGTGAAAGGATTGAAAAAATGAGATGTAAACTTTATATAAGTTAACTGTTTATCCCCAAAACAGACAAATCTATGAGAAAATGTGTATATATATATATATATATATATATATATGTGTGTGTGTGTACACATACACATACATACATATATATATTGCTATATATAGCTATCTCTCACTCTCTCTATATCTATATATAGATAGATATAGAGAGAATATATATAGAGCGAGGGAGAGAGAGATTACCACAAAATATGACAATTAGTTAAATTTATAATGTGTGTCCAACATCATTTTACAAACAAAATAACTGAGACAAGATAAGACACAGGTATTTATAGTCATGTAAAAAAGAAATTTGTCACATAAATGCACCGTCTGTGAAGAATGAGTACCCTCCCACTGCTTCAATAGGAATTAAAAAGGTAATTAAAAGAGTGAGTAGAGGCCAGGTGCTGCTTATCAAATGCAATTGATTAACTAATCATGACTGTAAATGCAAATGTTTGTTTAAATAGTGTCAAATAACAATAACAGTGATCCCAGGGCACTTTATACTGTAGGACAAAGATCTTCCAATACAGACTGCATAAAGTCCTAAGAAAACATTCTTTTCACATGACTGTAACATCAGCATAGTTCTTGAAAATGTGTTGTGATACTTCATGATTTGAAAGGGAATATATTTAAATGCAGTAGGATGAAATACCAGAGGATTCAGAACAGATTCCCGGGCACTCGATGGCAAATGTTGCACTGTTGAGAAGGATTTATCCAATATCATTCAAATGAACCCTGAAATTACTTACAATTGGTTCAATGTTCAGCTCTTGCCTCTCCTTATCCCCCTGCTCGAAAAACTCAGTGGCCACCAGCTCTGCTATCTGCATCAGAAACCAAATGCAGAAACATTGAAACATTTTATGAGCTTTTAGTTCTTAAAAGGCAAATTTTATAACACTAAATGTAAAACCAAAGATAGAAGCAAAGTAAGCTTTTACGATGGGGTGGCTGTAGCTCAGGAGTTAGAGCAGGGCATCTACTAATTGGAACGTTGGTGATTGGATCCCTAGCTGCTCTAGTCTGTGAGCCAAAGTATCCTTAGGCAAAATAGCGAATGCAAAGCTGCTCTCTGATATGTTCATTGGAGTGTAAATGTGTATGAATTAAATAGAAAGCAAAGAAAAAGTGCTTGTGTGAAGGGATGAATGACCGTTTTTGAATACTGTATTTATATAGCGCTTATATATATATATATATATATATATATATATATATATATATATATATATATATATATATATATGTATATATACAGGTCTATAAGAATCAATCCATTTATAATTTGCTCTGAAAGCATCAATTTTAAATCCTCATTTATTGTTGGACAGAAGACTAAGTTGGGTGAATTGTATACTATGCAAGTCATAGTGTCATTGTAACCTTGGAAACTTTGTGGCATATTGTGGCAGTTTGAGTAATAAGAAAGAGGTCTCCTACATGGAAATAACAAAATGCTTATACTGCTGCTGGAGGCAGCATCGTTAGAACATTAATCTTGAGGAAATGACTGGGAATGACCCAGACAAACTGACAGCCTGTGTGACAGCTGGAAGGAAGAAGGAAAATGAAACAAGTGAATAGCAAGAGCTCTCCCAAAAGCCCCACACAAAGTTAGTGTTCTCAAGTTTTTAACAAAGAGATAAAGAAGATAGGCTCAAGCTCCAATCAACATCACTCTGTGTGAATGTGTTGCTGAAGCCGTCTTCAGCTCTTGATTGAGTCGGTGGTGCTGCAAGGAACGTAAGTACTATGATGCAGTTGTTAATTGTTGAGACTAAGAAGCTTTGCCTTTACTTCCTCCATGATCTATGAAAATATTTTAGCAGTGCTTATGGAGGTTACTTTCATAAACTCATATCATTTCTTTAACCCTTTCATGCATGAATCACGACAACCTCAATCAGGATTATACTTTATTGTTAAAGTATTTTTATTTAGGCATGAAAAAAAGATTTTTGAAATAAATTTTTTTAAACAGGTACTTTTTAAATAGTTTTTTACTTGTCCACTTAGGTGAACAACATCACTTTTGGAGTGTGTGGCAGAGTATGGAGTGACACATCAGTGTCCAATGTAGTGGTTTATGTGCAAATATACCATCAACACTGACACTTATTTAAGGTCTTCAAAATCAAAAGTGGAAACCAACCAGAATGTATTTCTTAAGTAAAAAACATGGCATGATATTAAAGAATGCTATATTTGTAAATCGTGGTGACTTTACTGCATTTTTTAAATACAACTTTTTCGTTATGATATTTTATGTTGTTAAGTCTCAGTGATAACCTTAAATGATTATAATGACTTTACCTGACTGAAAAAAGTATGACTGGAAGTTTCAGATTTAGAGCTAGTCTAAAAAACAAAAACAATATGGCAGATCAGCCTAAATGCTAGGAAAACACCATTAGAATCAGTCCAGAATCCAAAACCATTGGGTGACGTCACAGTGAATATGTTAATCTTTATATAAAGTCTATGGATGGAGGCTGTGAAAGTAAAACAGACCAGGGAAGGAGGGGTATGGGTTTAGCGCAATCTGTTAATGAGGAGCAGGTGATTTGCCAGAGTGTGTGTAAGCCAGGGAACGTATGTACTTGTTTGCTGCCCTGAATGTTTTTTTTTAGAGTTGTCATCTGAGGACAGGGCCCAGCTGTTTTTATTAACAAGCTCTCATTTATCAGCACTCTCATACACACACACAGAATGTTTATCTGTATAACAATTCCTCTGGGCCTGAGTTTCCTAACAAGACACAGACTAATGAAGGTCACTGGGGGACAGCAGGCACACTACAGCATTGAATATAGTGCACGCTCACGTGCGTGTGTGTGTGTAGTAGGTCAGTGATTAAGAAAAAAAGAGAAAACAAGGAGGAGCTCTGAAAGGTAATTAGAGTAAGAAATTGTAGGATCAGATATGAATAACAAAGAATACATTTTAAGGCACGTTGCACCTCAGGTCACAGTCAGCAGGGCTCTATTCCAGGAAGCTTGTTATATAATATAATATAATATAATATAATATAATATAATATAATATAATTATTTTTTTTTATGGTGTCTGCTGTTATCATTTACCCAACTTGAATTTTCATAAGATGAAGCTGGAATTCTGTTTCTTTATGTTTGATTTGTTAAATGTAATGATTCAATTGAGACAAAATGCAGGTGACAGAAACTGAAGATAAAACCTGAAGATCCACCCTCGAATCAGCTTTTATGAGTCTGATTATTTTCTTGTTCCAATAATTAATCAGTAAAAATGTAAGAAATGTGTTCCTTCCATCCTTTGACAGAATTGTACTTACTGAATGAAAGTGCTCCATGAGATTTAGAGAAAAACTCTGCTTTAATGTTGCCCAGTTTAACCATTTATACTGATATAAAGCTTTCAGCTTCCAGGCCTGGATTTCTACATTTAAGATAAAACTTGAAACTTTTCTTTTTGATAAAGCTCATAGTTAAGTATGGATCAGGTGACCCTGAATCCTCAGTTAGTTACACTTCAATAGGTCTAGGCTGCTGGGAGTTTCTCGTGATGTACTTCCTGTTTCTTCTTTACTCACCTTTTTAGATTTCATTTCATTTAATCATTAGTTATTATTACAGTTTTTACCGAATGCCTAAACACTAACTGTGAATCCTGTAGCACAATCTCTAAAACTATTCAGACTTATAGCAAAACCACTCACTGAGTTTGCAAAACTAAAAGCACAAAAACTGCTTTGCACTCAGTTTGCAATTTTGTAACACACACTTTGCAAGACTGTAGGCACAATTCACTGCACAACACTCAATTTCCAAATTTCCAACACACTCCTAGCAAAAGTATACACATGTATGGCTATCATTAACACTAATTTGCCAACTGTCTGGCACACTTTCACATGTGAAAACTTTCTTAGATAATTCGTTCACTTTGCAATCAGCCTAAGCACTATAATACAGGTAAGCTGTGTGTGCGGAGTACAATGGTGGGAGCAGAAAGAGTGAGAAGTAGAGGAGGCCGAGGAAGAGGACGTGGAGGTGAAGAAGTAGGATGAAGAGGACGACAAGGACAAGGAGGAGCAAGAGGAAGACGAGGAGGGGGCAGAGGAAGCATGTTCACTGCAGACCACGTAACCCATATAGTCATTATGGCGATTGCAAATAATCCTATACTTGGTAATAAACACTTGTGTTTGTTTTGATGTGTTTGACTAAACACCAGTACTTGAAGTTTGGATCCCTCCATGCTTATGGATCTATGACAGAAGTATGAGCTCAAACTGACATAGCCTACCTTGTGCACAGGGAAGGCAAACGCCAGATGTGTTTTGTATTCATACCATCAGTGTGCAGTTGGCGCATTGTGTGCTTAGTAGATGATGGCTTGTGTGTACTGTTCGATACGGAAACACCATTTTTACGAAGGTGTGAAGAGTTAATCTAGCTGTGTTTGCTTTTGCAAGAGAACTACAATGTTTTGATTATTGGGTGACAGGTTTTCTTATTTGTGTGAAGAGTTTTGCAAAATTAGCCAATAGTTACAAAAAATGTGCTTAAGCAATCAGAAAAAACTGTAATCTAATGAATGAATGAATGAATCAGGATGTCACACAGCCAGCTCAGAAGGGGAGGAGTCAGAGACAAAAACTTAGTTCAGACTCTGTTACCCCAGTAACTGACACAGAGTTGAAGTTAACTCTCTTTCCCTGAGTTTCTCTCATCTTCTGCAAAGCAGAAGTGTTAACTGTCTTGATACTAAGGAACTTATTTATTTTGTATCATCAATTTAACTAAGATTTTAAATTACATTAAACAAATTAACTAGCAGTTATAATCTATTTTAAAATTTGGTTTGTTTGCTTCATTTTGAGTTTTTGATACATTTTATATTTTTTAAATACATTTTAATATTTTACTCATTGCCATTTTCCCTTTATATGTAAAGTGAGTAGTTTCAGCTGTTTTTTTTTTTATATCTCATAGAAACACTATGTAACTATAGAAAACAGAAATGAGGGGATGTGTGTGTATACCACAGTAAAAACATAAATACACAGAAAAGCAGCGTACCAACATACAGACAGGTAAAGGTTGCGGGGTTTTCTGTTTGTTTGTTTTTTACCCTTTTTTGTACTGGCCAGGGCTTAGTGATGGCAGAGATGTCACATGCGGTCATCAGCATTGACCTGAAGGGGGTGACAAAGTTACAGACATTAAATTTCCACAGACACACTAGTTTCTCATAGCAGGAGAAACTCTGGACTTGTTACCATGGTATTGCAAGGTTTGAATATAAGGTTTATATAGCAAAACCTAAAACTTTGGTCTTAACCCATATCTGGCAACCTATAATGCAAAGAATGCCTGCATTGATGGCTAAACCATTTTTCTTGAAGAAATGGTTTCAACACATAACTTTTACAACTATATGTTGATCAATAGAAGTGTTAATCATCACGCTGTCATGATGCTTTTTTACTTTTCAGACTTTGCACAGCAGGTGGCCTGTCCCTCACAAACATTTATCTTATGTTGATGTAAATGTTAATACAGGCATCTGAGACTCTATACTCACCTCAGCAGGTCTCTGTGGTGTTCATCCTCCCAAACAAACTGGTTGTTCTTGGTCAGCTCAAAGAACTCCCCTCGCCTCCTGACAGCACACACCCACATGAACAATGTCACAGCAGGTAATTATCCTCATATATAACCCACTTAGCCCACAAACCACCCACTGTCTAGACTAAAAGTGGGCTAAGATAAGAGCTGAAGTCACTGAGGTAGTAGGAGGGAGTTAAGAAAAAACATGAATGCATTAAGATGTAGTAAAAAATTGTCACCCCTCTTTTCAGAAGACTGGGTATAACAACCAAAACTGTGAAGACTGAAAAACTATAAATTTCTGTGAAGCCACCCTTAAAATCCCACCAGTTCAAACGTACTTGGCAGGTAAATTGCTTGAGTACTTATACAGTCTGTATTTTATTTTCATTTTAACTTTTAGCTGCTCTGGGGCTGTAGACATACATGAGTTCTAAGCCAATTATATTACAAAGAAAGAAAATACCCCCTTTCCATCCACCCACCCACACCACCACACCCACACACAAATGCACACTCACCAGAAGAAAGACACAACTTTTAAACACTAACTTGTATCTAGACCTACAGAATTACTATAAGGAGTGAGTAGAACTTAAGTAATGAAGGCTTTAACAGTCACAAGGTGAGTGTAATCTCAATTGTACTCAATTTTGCACTGATTAAAAACCTTTAAAATACTGCTTTTCTTCTTCCGTTCTTTTCCTCTCATTCAGTCTCCATTGAGGCTTGATGTTTAGTACTTACTTCATGTACAGGGCGAGGTCGGTGGCCAGAATAGCCCTTTCAATCATCTTCAGAGTGGCCTTGTACTCGTCCAGAGAAAGGCCGCTCAGGATCTGGTTTCCCTGGAGAGAGAGGGACAGAGAGAAAACAGTGTAAGTGCAGGAAAAGCTCTGCATGCTATATCATGAGTTATACTCATACTGAGTTGCTGGATGGGAGTTTAATTTTCATGTCCTCGCAGTAAGGTAGCAACAGAGCTAACTGCAGGTTTCACTACTAAGGTTTTACTGTGGCAATTGCAATGATTGCACAAAAACTATAAACAGAGTGTTTATATGCAAATGTTGACACATCATTACATGTCCCTTCAATGCTGAGCACTGTTTAGTGATTACTTGCATTACGGCTTATCACACTACATATGATAAGGTGTCTGTATCCCTCCATCTGTGTTTATGTGTGCAGCAGCAGTGGCCTTAAGTGGTGTTTGTGAAGTTGGGAGTGCATTTAGAGTTTGCTTTGAGGCCATAGAAATCAGAGCAGGGTGTACTTCTCTGCATTTTATTGGACCATTTGAAAGATATGTGGTAGGCTAGCAGCTCAAAAATGACCGGAATAATACGCGTAATAAATAAAATGGGGATATTCAGCAGAAGAGGGCAATGGCATTAAAATAGCTATCCACTATCAAGCAACTGGGTCTACAGTGTAAATCTTTTGTTAAAGGTCAGGGTAGGGTTAGCTGTCTGATTCTGTCTGATTCTCTGCGTAATTATTAAAATTAAATGATACTGTGTTCAATGCAATTTTCTGAGAAAAGACTGAAAGTAGTGAAGCTGCAGTTCTACAGCTAATAAATAGTTAGCCGCAGTAATACACAGTCCCATTTGTAATATTCTCAGGCAAGTTAGCACCTGCCGCACATTTGATTTCCAAAAAGATTTTTAAAATATTAAAAAACTGTAGTACTCTGTAGTACTGTGCAGTGATTCTCGCATAATAAACAAAGTTCATTGCAAGAACTTTAAAAATGATTTTCCTGCCAACAGGTGCAGCAGTGAAATGGTAAATGTATATGTGTCTGAGCTTCACTGAATTACGCTATGAGCATGGGCAAAAGTTTGTGGAACATCTAGGTATCTCAATAAGGAAAGCTGTTGCTAAGGAGGTTGAACAGGTCTTCCACCAATTAGAAGGTTGGTGGTTTGATCCATGGACTCTGTGTCATGGTCTCCGTGCCTGCCCGGCTGGCCCCACAAGGCTACATGTGCTGTTTTGGTTCTCTCTCTCTCTCTCTCTCTCTCTCTCCCTCTCTGCCTGGGCTGAGCTCACTGTGGGCTCCCGCCCTTGGCCCACACACCTGACAACAATCACCTGTCATCACCGGGAGCACTATTTGAGGCTGGAACACAGATCCTCTCGTCGCTGGATGATTGTACTACTGACGTTAGTGTTTCTCGCAGCTCCTGTAGACTTGTGCTTAGTAATTTGAGATTCGTGATTAGTTTGTGACTTCCCTTCTCTTCTGCTTCAGACCTTTCTCCCCGGACCTTTGACCTCCCTGCCGTGTGAACATGTGTGAGTGCGGGCAAGAAGACGTGAGCGAGTGTGAGAGAGCTACCCTGTGATTCCCTGGAGTTTTGGATTCCCTTCACTGTATATACTGTGCACTGGTGCTGTAAATAAACTGTTTTTTGGAGACGTCTAACCGCTCTGCGCCTGAATTCCTACAACCAGATTGTGACACTCTGCATGCCAAAGTATTCTTGAGCAAGATAAAGAACCCCATTTAAGATTTTGATTTGGTATCTATGTCTTCATCCCAGTGTCTGACTTAACCCTGAGCGAGGGGAGTTTACACTTTGAGATTTTTCAGGATATGGAGTTTGTTAGGATAATGCTATCTCCTATTGTTCTCTACACATTCAGGGTGAAACAGTCATGTAAAACTGAAATATATATTCAGTTCTCTGATAAGATAAATATACCTCAAGATTCAATAGCCTGTAAAACCACCTATAGCAATAAGTTAAAGATTATGACTTTATCTGTCTGTCACATAGTTGTGGAGGAATTTTCCCCCAGTCTTCTTTACAACATTGCCTCAGTTCATTGAGGTTTGTGGGTATTTGATTACATATACAGTAGGTTTCTTAAGGTGTCACCACAGCATTTCAATCAGGTTGAGGTCTCGATTTTGAGCCACTGCAACACCTTAATTCTTTTATTTCTAACCCTTTTGTTGTATATTTGCTGGTGTGCTGGGATCACTGTTCGCTTGCATGCCCGAGTTTTGCCCAATCTTTAGCTGTCAGACAACTAGCGCCATATTTGACTCTAGAATAAAGCTGATTTAATGACTGCAAAGTTCAAATCATTACCCTTCCACCACTGTGCTAGGCAGTTGGTATGACATGTTTATGCTATATTTACCAAATGTGGCACTGTGCATTATTGTCAAACATCTCTACTTTGGGCTTATCGGTACATAACCTACAGGACAACCTAATGTAAAACTCCCAAGAAAGATAACTACGCATTGGATCAACGCAGCCCGAAACTATAGTGATTACACTATTCAGTTGATTCCTTCTGTCTATTTCTGGGTACTTTTTCACAATTTTTAAATTTATCAGTGAGAGAATAACAATCATTGCCTCAATATGAGAATACTAATCATAGCATCAATATAAGGACTCACAAATGTCAGCAATTTATTTCAGAAACAAAGAGTGGGCACAAGGGTGGGAAAGGTCCCAGCATCTTATTTGTTTCTATGAGGCAGCACCGCATGTAAAACACTTGATAATTAACACATAATACACCACTCACAACCATAAATGCAATAGCGTCGGCCACTTACATAGCTTACATCGTAGGCTCTACAATGTTTCCTACCAGAAATCTAAATCAGGCCTCACATGAAACACAGATCAAAATTCACAGGACTCACAAGAGTTGACTTTAGTCTTTGGCAGGAAGTCATAAAACCTGGCCAGGGTTTGTAGGTGGAGGGTGGGAAGCCAGTTAGAGATAATATCCTGTTTTTACACTAGGAACTTTCACCAGTTAAGGAAATGAGCCTAAATGAATGTTTCCTTGTGCTAAATCTTTTCAGTGAAGACACACATTATGCTTATTGCATTACACATAAAAATGTATTACTTTATATGCTCAGTATTTTTATTGGATTATGGGCATGCTATTGCATTACCAGGAGGTAGTTATTAAATTATCATTTTCTTCTGTGACTTTTTGGCAATTTTTTTCAGTGTTCCACAAAAGAACATAAATGGGAGACTTTGGACATCCTGATCTTGTGGGACATAACACAGAACCTTGTAGATTATAAAGTTTGAAATTATTTCTGCTGGCAGGGAGCCATGTGGGAGCACCAGAGGGTGGAGATGGATTCTCTGGACTGAGTCTGCCAAGAGCTCAGCTGCTGCATAAAGAATGAGCTGCAGCTGTGAAAGGCCAGCTAAAGCCATGTTTTACATAACAGTATTGGGGTTAAAATCTGGGTGTGGAAAAAAGATCTAGATTTGCTCCCTCTGTCTTCCTAGTATTGCTCTTGTATTAGTGATGCTATCTACAGTCTGTATTTCCATCTATCAGTATGCAGTGCAGTTTAAAAGGAGGAGGAGGCATTCTGGTGTAGGCAGAATAGCTAGCGTTTAGTACCAAAGAACAAATTTGTAGGCTTCTTTTCTTAATGCTGGTTCTGCTGCCTGTGGGAGTTGATGAATGTCTGATTATCTAAATGGGCTATAAAACACAACAATACAGTAGAAGATGGTACACGTTAACAAGGGCTTTAGAAGTACAGGGAGTGCAGAATTATTAGGCAAGTTTCCTGTTTTATTGTGAAGGTCCGTGTCGTATGTGAGTGTGATCAGTTTACGTTTCCCCTGTCCCGTCAGCCCAGATTCCTCCCAGCTGTGTTGCCCTCCTGTCTCTCATCCCCTGATTACTGGTGTGTGTATTTAAGCCCTGTGTGTTCTCCTGCCTGTTACCGGTTTGTCTGTGTTCCTCCGTGTCAGTCTGTGTTACTCGGTGTCCTGCTCGGCTCTCTGCCTCTCTGCCTCTCTGCCTCTCTGCCTCTCTGCCTCTCTGCCTCTCTGCCTCTCTGCCTCTCATCCCCTCATCCCCTCATCCCCTCATCCCTTTTTGTATCTTCTCAGGTTTGTCATCTAGCTTTCCCAGTTCAGGTCTTTAATTTTGTCTTCCCTCTTGCCTGTTTTGCCTTCTCACCACTGTGTAAATAAATCATCACCAGCGTTATCATCTACTGCCTGTGTTTTGGGTCCTTTTTCCCTTCAATACCACACGGCTCGTCTCAGCAGCCGTGACAACTGTGCATAATTATTAGGCAACTTAACAAAAAACAAATATATACCCATTTCAATTATTTATTTTTACCAGTGAAACCAATATAACATCTCCACATTCACAAATATACATTTCTGACATTCAAAAACAAAACAAAAACAACTCAGCGACCAATATAGCCACCTTTCTTTGCAAGGACACTCAAAAGCCTGCCATCCATGGATTCTGTCAGTGTTTTGATCTGTTCACCATCAACATTGCGTGCAGCAGCAACCACAGCCTCCCAGACACTGTTCAGAGAGGTGTACTGTTTTCCCTCCTTGTAAATCTCACATTTGATGATGGACCACAGGTTCTCAATGGGGTTCAGATCAGGTGAACAAGGAGGCCATGTCATTAGTTTTTCTTCTTTTATACCCTTTCTTGCCAGCCACGCTGTGGAGTACTTGGATGCGTGTGATGGAGCATTGTCCTGCATGAAAATCATGTTTTTCTTGAAGGATGCAGACTTCTTCCTGTACCACTGCTTGAAGAAGGTGTCTTCCAGAAACTGGCAGTAGGACTGGGAGTTGAGCTTGACTCCATCCTCAACCCGAAAAGGCCCCACAAGCTCATCTTTGATGATACCAGCCCAAACCAGTACTCCACCTCCACCTTGCTGGCGTCTGAGTCGGACTGGAGCTCTCTGCCCTTTACCAATCCAGCCACGGGCCCATCCATTTGGCCCATCAAGACTCACTCTCATTTCATCAGTCCATAAAACCTTAGAAAAACCAGTCTTGAGATATTTCTTGGCCCAGTCTTGACGTTTCAGCTTGTGCGTCTTGTTCAGTGGTGGTCGTCTTTCAGCCTTTCTTACCTTGGCCATGTCTCTGAGTATTGCACACCTTGTGCTTTTGGGCACTCCAGTGATGTTGCAGCTCTGAAATATGGCCAAACTGGTGGCAAGTGGCATCTTGGAAGCTGCACGCTTGACTTTTCTCAGTTCATGGGCAGTTATTTTGCGCCTTGGTTTTTCCACACGCTTCTTGCGACCCTGTTGACTATTTTGAATGAAACGCTTGATTGTTCGATGATCACGCTTCAGAAGCTTTGCAATTTTGAGACTGCTGCATCCCTCTGCAAGATATCCCACTATTTTTGACTTTTCTGAGCCTGTCAAGTCCTTCTTTTGACCCATTTTGCCAAAGGAAAGGACGTTGCCTAATAATTATGCACACCTGATATAGGGTGTTGATGTCATTAGACCACACCCCTTCTCATTACAGAGATGCACATCCCCTAATATGCTTAATTGGTAGTAGGCTTTCGAGCCTATACAGCTTGGACTAAGACAACATGCATGAAGAGGATGATGTGGACAAAATACTCATTTGCCTAATAATTCTGCACTCCCTGTATATACCATGTCCTGACTGCGGGGTTTTGGAAACAAATTAAAACGTACAGCTCTGTTATCACTTCCAACATAAATGAAGACAGAAAACTAAACAGCAGTGACATTTGTAGGGTTACTGAAGTTGGGCTAGCTGGTATATAATGATGTGCTACGTGACCGCTAGCGACACAGCTATGTTAGCATAATATAAACAAGCTAACTTTTTTTCCACTCGATAAAGTTAACGTGAGTGTCAGGAACAAATGTAATCGCATGGCAGGATGCTGTAAAAGGACCAAACTTCAGTCAGGAGAACAACTGAGATAATCCATCCACAATACGAGGTTAGTCATTCATATACTGCTGCATGGGCTGGGCTGTAGTTACATCCTAAGGTTTTAAAAACTGAGCTTAAATAAATGATTAGCGGTAATAAAAGCAGAGGGAGGTCAACAGTGATCACTGACTGTTTTAGGAGCTTTTTGAGATTAAATAGAAGAAAATACATAACATTAAACATGTTAACAACACAAAAGCCATATTAAACGCAGACTACTTTAGACCCGGAAGTAGGATTCGTCGCGTCATCACTTAACGACGGGATAACAGGACTGACTACTCGGCTGTCAGGTCTCCAGCTGTTTGTGTCCATGACCAAATATCCAAATGTCTACATTCCTGGCACCAAAAAATGTGTTTCTGGATTTTTTTTCTTTTTTCTTTCTATATATTTTACGTTTAGGACAGCACGGTGGCACCGTGGTTAGCACTGTTGCCGTACAGCAAGAAGGTCCTGAGTTCAATTCCACCATCAGGCCGGGGTCTTTCTGTGTGGAGTTTGCATGTTCTCCCCGTGTTTGCGTCGGTTCCTTCCGGGTACTCCGGCTTCCTCCCACCGTCCAAAGACATGCAGCTTGTGGGGATAGGTTAATCGGATAATCCAAATTGTCACTAGGTGTGAATGTGCGAATGAATGAGAGTGCGAATGGTTGTCTGTCCCTGTGTGTTGGCCCTGCGACAGACTGGCGACCTGTCCAGGGTGTACCCTGCCTCTCGCCCTATGACAGCTGGGATAGGCTCCAGCGCCCCCGCGACCCTGAAAAGGATAAGCGGAAGCGAATGGATGGATGGATGGATTTTACGTTTATTTTGGGAAATTTTTAATTAGCATTTGTGGATGCAGTGTGAGAATTGTATTGTGAGGCAATGGTTGAACCACACCACATCTTTATTCCTGAAGGCCTTTCTGAAGGGATGTAAAAAGCCCACAATATAAGTTGTCTGCTGCTTATTAGACAAAGTAAGAAGCCATTCTGTACTAATGTTTTATGTAATTACACAGGTGGCAAGTAGAGGGATAGAGTAGAGAGAAGAATGATAGTCTGACTAGAAGGCTTCCTACATATGAGCGCGTGTGTGAGTGAGCAAGTGAGTGTGCTTACATGGCTGTTGAGGATCATGAGGCACTGATCGAAGTGGTGATGCTCCATGGTGGAGTGGCAGTAGAGCTGGGCCAGTGGGTGGTCACTCCTGGAGAAGAAGAAACCGAGGGTGAATAGTGTGCTCCCACGCATGCATATATGATCATGCACACACCTCTGTGACTCATGCTCTCTGATGTACCTCTGTATGTAGGAGTTATTGACTCCTCTGTGGTCCAGGTCGTGGCAGAGTGTTGCAATCATTAGAGCCAGCACCTCCAAATCACTCATATAGCTCTGTTAGGAGATGAATAAGTACATTAAGGCAAGGAAGGAAGGCGGGAAAAATGGCAGCAGGTTAACAGATGACATACTGCCTCCACAACCAAACCAAAAAATACAGTTGTGTACACAATGCTGTTATAATACACTTTTGGCAGTGTGTGTGCTCAGCATGCACCCTGGAGTGGACATCAAAGCTGGTTCTGCATATGACACAAAAGCTTTTATGCAGCCAGCTGCCAAATTTGCACACAAAAATCGCTAGTTTTTATAATGTGAATTATTCCCGAATCAAAAATTATTTGATATTGGTATTCTGGAGTCCTTGCCAAGGATTCTTAATTGGAATTTAGGCTCTTTTTAAGAGAGCTGGTTTTTATGTCTCACCTCACCTCAAAAAGAGCCAAAACGCACAAATAACTGAAAAAAGGTGAATGAGGGGGTGTTAGCATTTTACTTCATTTTAAGTTTTAGACTTTTGTTTTGGACTTTGATTTCATATTAAGTTTGGTGAGGTTTGATTTGAATTTGTCAGGCAACGACTACCGGTACTTTTTACATTTTAGCACCAGAAGCACTTAATGCATGGTCAGAAAAAAGAATGGTTTGGGTTAAAAACAACCATTCACGGCTTTATTAACTATCTGAAACAGCAAAGTTCTTGCATCTGCTAAAATATTCTCTATCATTTTTCTTTACCTCAGTACAAGTTCTGTACAAGAGGACATTTGACTAGTGTCACATTGCATTACTACACATTAAAAATTTATTTTAAAAAGGTACACTTTGCTTTCAAATGTAGTAGCAAGTGGCTCTGACAAACTGTAACTATGTAAAATGTCAATAAAACATGTTGGATTACTTAGAAAAAAAGTGGTTGCCCTTTGCAGCAAGATTACTGTTACTGTGAGATGCCTTGGAAAATCCTCAGTATGTTACTTATTGGGAATGAGAATGCTCTGGGAATCAATGACTATATTTTTTGACTGCACTTACCTGTAAGTGCCCTGACTTGAGGACAACAAACATGCACTGGGCTGTGTTGAAGGCATGTCTCCAGTTATGATAGGCCACATTCTTCCTGTAGTTCTTCTTAACACTCATAATCCACTGACATAAACTCTGCAGAAGAGCCAGTGTTATAAAAATGTTGCAAAGTAAAAGCATATACAAAATTTAATTTGGTTTTGTTCTTTGCATCGCCTGATTGTAGAGACAATCATTCTAAATTGACTGCTATTTGTATGCAGAATACTACCCTGCTTCTATCTGTCTGAAAGTAAGTTTCCTACAACAAGGGACACATTTCTAAGGGGTGAAAAAGGCTAAGGCCACAGCAACAGCAACCAGGGATAATGTTTAAATTTGTGTCCACTGAGATACAAACTGTGACACAGGTTAAAATAAAAAGGGTTGACATTTATGTCCATGTTATGTCAATAAGATCTTACTACAGTCAGTGTGGTTTTAATGTGCTGAGCACTTAGAAGATGTCTGACACAGACAGCCAAGCCATCATGTCTTTACGAACTAATACTAGTACAAACTAATTTAAGTTAAGAAAATAATAATGAATTATAAATTAAAGTTAAATTATTCTCTACAGAATTTATGCTAGAGGAACAATGTTTTTTCAAGAACACAACACGTACAAGATAAGATACGATAAGATAAGATAACTCTTTATTGTCATTGCACAGTCATACATAGTACAGTAGTACAATGAAATTGGAAAACTGTCCTACATCGGCACTACATATAAGACAACATGACACGATATGAAACATCACAACGCAACAAACAACACAACACAGTATATTAACTTAGTATAAAAAAGAAGAATAAGTGTATGTGTATCGCACACTGTTATTATTGCACCTTGTTATAAATATTAAATATTATTATTGTTATTACAATGGGACCAAAATGAAATGAAAAACAAACTAAAGCAGTACATTGTAAGTGGGGTACAATTTTAGCAATTGAAAGTAAAGGCAAATGTGACAAGCACAGGGTCATTTTCTTTGCCATTTCCGAAAGTGAACACTTAGCAGGAACAAAGCAGAGAGCCCTGATCTGCTGGCAGGGTGCTAAGCTGCACGCTCGTCATGACCACACTGTGAATAAAACTAATTCCAATCTGAGGCACCACGAGAATCCAAATTATTATTCATCTAATCAAATCGGGGCTCATTTTCTCTATAGGAAAGATTATAATTTGATCTCAGACTTGAATGAGTGTCTGTATAACATGTTAGGATTGCAATCAAATCATGACTTGGTGTGCAGTTCAGCTTCCAGGGTGTGATGCTCTGGGATGGCCAGTTTGTCAGCTATTGGTGTGACAGTTAAACTGACAGCCTGCACTGCTGGAGGGCCATAACTTCCTCCAGTCAAAGTTTCTTTTTGTGAGGCCTCTCCCCGCAGGCACCCAGGGGTCAGCCACCAAGAGCACCTAAAGGTGGAGAGCCAATCCTGCCAATGATCTGCTGATGCTGGCGCCAATTAAAAGTCAGATGAGCAGAGAATTGGGTTTAACAGACAGCGATGACAGAGTCACCGACACAGTCTCGTGTCGGTGACTTTTGGAGGGGTATTGTTTTATGTGCATGATACTGTTGTGTGATACTGTTGTGTGATGATACTTCTTCAGCTGTAAATGCATTTATTTGTCCTCCGACACATTTGCTCATAATGTAATGGTTTAATGTTGCTGACAAAAAGGAGGTTGTTTTTTTTGCAACAGTTCATCATATACACTGAAGATATTGGTTGTTTCTGTGCTGCCCTTTTAAAGTCAAACCTTCTACTCTGAGTAAAATATCTGTTGTTGCACAATAAGAGCTACTTTAAGGCTAGTTCTCTTAAGATTATGAATGGTTTGGCTTGCAGTGCATGTACAGTAGCTGAGCCTTTAAAAAAAACCCAAAAAAACCCAAAACGCTTTAGCTCTATTTAAATCGTAGGTCAAGTTGAATGAGCACCAAGTCACCTCCTGTACAAGCTGTATGCCAGTATTGAGCAAGACTCACTGATCCACCTCAGATGGGGAATGCCTAGCTGAAGCCCTGGTCCACAAGAGCTTCAACTCTCACCTCTGTTAGAGCTTCGGCAACATTCTGAGGGAGACTGGGGACACTGAGTCCGAATGGAGCATGTTGAGCGCCTCCATTGCATGATGTTGTAGGGCTGTCTTGGTTAACATGCCTTTGCAATGTCTTGAGGAGATCTGGGGCGGTACCTCTGGATTGGCAGAGTGAGGTGGTGGTTTCCATGTTCAAGAAGGGGGACCAGAGGGTGTGCTCCAAATATAGGGGGATCACACTCCTCAGCCTGCTCAGGAAAGTCTATGCCAGGATGCTGGAAGGGAGAGTCCGTCAGTTAGTCAAACCTCGGATACAGGAGGAACAATGCGGTTTTCATCCCGGTCGTGGAACACTAGACCAACTGTTTTTATTCTGTTCCACGTCCTGTCACTCTCTGTCTTAAGCTGCCTGAGGCATTTTGTAGCAGCTCAACTCAGGTGTCATCTTCCTGATTTATTTGTGCATGATCAGTGTTTCATCCTGAATTGTAGCTTGGACATCTTCCGTTGCTGTTGCTTGAAGACTACCATGCACTGTGGGGAATTCTTGTGCGTTGACATAGTAATAACTCCTTTTGGCAGCTTATTATTGCAGGGTATCTGATGACTGGTAGGATGTATGTACTGATGGCTCAGATTCTTATTCCGAACACTCAACTGGCTTCTCAGCACCTGTCTTACCTTATTTGGCTGTGGCTTAACTTAGTGCATATTCATCATGGTTCCTGTTGGCCTGTGGGATACCCAGGTAGTTGAAGCTGTCCTCTACATCTGCTATTCTCCCTTCTGAGAATTTCATCCCTTCAATCCGGATCCCCTTTCTTCTTTTTGCAAACATTTGGCTGGTGAGGTGAATCAGTAAGTCTTACTTGTACAGGAGGTAACTAGTGGTCACTCAGCTTGACCTAAATCAGTACTGAATCTATATCTGTATTCATTCTTAGTGATGAGCTGGCTTAGGTGGTTGAGGCCTATGCAGAAGAGCAGTGGGAACAGAGCATCACCTCTGAAACAAAGGCCTGAGTGGTATTTTTAAAGCAAGTTTGCAGTTCTCATGGATTTTAATGGAGCACATGTTAAGTCTAACCTGTTTGTGTAAAATCCCAGGTCAGTTCTTACCGTGTACTTCATCTGAAAGTTTTGGACCAGGTGGAGGTCAACAAACATCCGCACAGTAGCCAGCGTGGTTTCACTATCTGACAAGTCAAAGTCACTGAAGCTGAAGTCCAGAAGATGGAGCGACTGGGCTGATGGAATGGTTGCTAACTTCAAACACACACAGAATATATACATGCAAACAGCAGGAAAAACAACAGGCTTCAAATTCAGAAATTCTGCATTATATAGTTGAACTAAAGACTAATGATTAAATATTAATCAGATTCAAATCTCAATTCTTAATTCTGTTGCTGTTACAGAAGCAACTTTAATTTAAAATGCAGTTATGAGGTGTGCAATGTGCCAAATATACAGTATGTAGCTACCTCTTGAGTAGAGACTACCAAAATAATCAATTCTGTGTCCTAGTTACCAAGTGACACATCCTCTCTCTTGTGCCCAAGGGAGGACACTTAATCAGGCTACGCTATTAGTTCAGCCAGTTTGCTATAAGGAGAGAGGAAGAGAGCAGGATCCTTTCAGATGGTCAAGCAGTGCCACTGTTAGTGCTGGTGGGGAAGATGGGTTGCTCTAATTGGTTCATATTTTAAGAGGTACCTTGAAGTCAATGAGCCAGTTAGATGCTACAAATGAGCTACTCAAAATCACTTGGAATATCCTTTATTCTTTTTTGGTTGATTTGTGGGGTTCATTCATACACGATTTGCTCAAAATATTTAAATTAGACACAAAATACTAATAGTAGAAAGAATCATATTAATGATCCAATCCCAATGAAGAGAAGTATATATTATCACCAGATATATTACCACCAACATTATCAAATTAAGTGCTAATGTCCCATAAACAAGACACATGGATTCAAAACTCCATCCGTCCATCAATTCATTCTCCTCCATGTGTTCCAGGGGGATACTGTGGCTAGGGATGGGTATCGAAACCCGGTTCTTGTTGAGAACCGGTTCCCACTGTCAATTCCTTGGAATTGTTTGCCATTTTTGCAAACGATTCCCTTATCGATTCCAGTCGTTGCGGAGCGTCATTTACCTGACAGGAAACACGGCGCCTAAGCTCAACGCTCAAAAGTTTGATTATACTTTACGAGAACGGATGACAACAGGGCAACTTGCAATACTTGCAAAGTAATATTTCATTTAAGGGAGGAAACACTACGAATATGCAAAACCATTTGCTCACAAAACACGTGATAACCTTAAATGAATGTCGTGTTTTTAATTCCGCTCCAGACTCGTAAATCTCAACCCAGCAGCAGCAGTAACGTTTGCACGTCCTCTCCCGTTAATGTGGCAGATAAATAATCAACTAACAGTGCATATTATGTTAGTGAGATCTGCCTTATTACAAACCTGCCATTACTGTGCATTTAGTGACCATGATGAGAGAGACAGACAGAGTCTGGCTGGCTCAGATGCTGGCAGTTCTCGCTGCAGTCTACCGGTAGCGTCTCCTTTCAGGCAGGATAGACGAATGTCACCGAGCAGTGACTAAGTTTGTGGTAAAAGGCTTTGCCACAGCAGATGCCCCCGATTTTCAGTAAGTGAATGTGTTTAATTGTAGGCAGGGACATTACTGGATATTCTTGTGTAATTGCTACAGAATAATTTATGCTATACTTTGTTATTGCTACAGAAGAATATTTATTTTATTATTTTACATTTACAATTTTTTTCCTGGGGACCCTGTGACACCCCATTAAAGAGCCGTAGGCTGTGGATCTCTTAAGATCTCACTGTTGGGTTTGTAAGGCCATGTTACTCCTAAATGTCTGTCTTGTTCAAAGAGAAGATATAAAACAAAGTTCTAAGCTAATCGACCTTAGTGTTCTCCTTTTTTAAAATAAGAATCGATAAGAGAATCGATAAAGAATCGAATCGTTAAACAGAATCGAAAATGGAATCGGAATCGTGAAAATCTTATCAATACCCATCCCTAACTGTGGCATTACAAATCCCACTGATAGATAGATAATCTATCCAGCATATCCTTAGCATATCCAAAACATGTCACCTAAGAGGAATCCAGGATATGCCAGAACCATCAAAAGTGGCTGTTTTTGATGTGGAAGAGTAGCCACTCTACTTTAAGCCTCTCCCAAATGACTGAGTATCTCAGCTTATCTCTGAGATACTCAGTCATGGATGGCTGTAGCTCAGGTGGTAGAGCAGATCACCTACTAACTGGAAGGCTGGTGGTTTGATCCCCGTCTGCTTCAGTCTACATGCCAAATATCTTTGGGCCATGTAGTTCCCATACTTTCTTACTGATTCAGCCAAAGATGTTATTTCTACACGAGCCTTCTTTCTCTTAACAACATCACCTGCCTGTGTTTCTCTCTTTCCATGCTAAGTGTATAATGTTAAATTAATGCATTTCAATTTACTTCAGCTACCTGGAGTTCCCGTGATTCTTCATCTGCAGCAGAGGCATGATACGACAAGACCTGCAACACATGTATTTAAAAAGATGAGTTTTGCAGAAAAAAAAGATATGATTATTGCACGAGTAATTATTTCACCAAATACAAATATGTCTGACTGACTGGACATTCTGCATGACCTTTCTTTTATTTAGCAGGCACAGTGCATGTTAATAGACATCAGTATAAAAGACAAGATGTAAACATGCCATGTTCAGAGACTTTTGGAAATTATAAAGAAAAAAAAGTGGGCTCTGATACTTGCAGGCTGTCAAAATGAAACGGACAGCTCAACAGGCTTTTGACAGGCTATAAAAAAGAAAAGTGGCATCTGATTTGACAACCAGATGTCAGTCAAATCCAAAATAAAAAAGAATCCTTTATGAAGAGGAGTGCACTGTCAAACACAGCGACTAAATCTTGTGTTTACTATTTTTAGTTACCAACAGATGAAAATACAATCAGTGTTTTGTGCAGTGCTTGTCGGTCGGGTGGACCTTCTCCCTTCTGAGTGTAGGAAGCTCCTTCCAAGTCCAACAGCAGTTGGACCAGGGATTTGTATAAAGCAATCGATCTAACAGATACTTCCTTTCAAGTGGCCATAGATCCAGACCGCAAACACTTGCTGATATGTGCATATGCATTCAACAGCATAATCCTACAAATTCCTGGTGCTGCTGCCTGGTGAAGTTATCTTATTGCTCCCTACATCTTTACGAAGATAGCATTAATTCCTCACTGAGAGAGGAGCACCTTAGCCTTTCTGCATGATAGGACTCATAGCAGCTTCAGTAAGTACGCCTTTCCCTGTTAAAGCTGTATCACTCTCTGCTGTGTGCATTTCCCCCAGTGTAAATGATACCACCAATTCAAAGGAGAGTGTGTCAGCGGAGCTGTTTTCTGATTCTAAAGGCTTGTCAGTGGCCATGATATGCAGAGATAATCAGTCTCTACAGGGACCTCCTCTCTCAGGTGGGAAGAGGGATGATCCACCCAGAACTGTGGTGGCTGTTTACCATTTGAGAGGTGAAATTTATAAGGGTCAGCCCCCAAGTGTGGGGGCAACGACAACTCATTTCTCTCCTTTAGGGGACAGAAATCATAGTCATAACATTTCATTTTGCTGTGTGTTTCTTGCACTTGATGCATGCATGTTGTCTTGTTAATTTTGGATCCATACACATTACAGCTCTTCTTTTTGTTGATACTGGATCTAGGACCCTAAAGAAGATCAGAGAACATCTTCTGATACGTGTCATTGTCTTGGGTCTTCGACCCAGTTTTTAAGGTTGTTCTGGACTCTTTATTCATTCTTTTAAATGTATTAATTGTTTATATTCAAATTTGTATTAGGTTTGAGTTCTGTATTTCACTAGTGTTGCAAGTTTGTTATTTTAAACTCTTGGTTCTTGTTTTATCTTTCTTCCCATTCGTTTCCAATCTATCTCTGTCTCATCTCAGTATCCTGTCATCAGTGTCCCTGTGTTTGTTTACTTCCTTTCTCCCAGTCATGTCCCTGTTTCTACCTGGTCTCTCTGTGTTCTGTCTCTGTGAATACCTTTGTAGTCCTGGCCCTGTGTTTTCTCCCTTCCTGTTCCCATGTTCATCTCTTTGTGTTTCGCCCCTTTGTCTCCCCAGTTTGTAAACGTCTCTGTGTATGTTCCCAGTCCCAGTGTCAACGTCACGTCTTAGTCTTGAGTGTCTGTGTGTGTGTGTCTGTGTCAGTGTTACTTCCTGTTTTCTTTTGAGTCTCGTGTCTTGTCATGTTCTGTTTTGCTTCCCCTGTCTTGTTAGTTATGATTCTTTTAAGCTGTGTTCTCCAGGTGTGTCCGCTTTCCTTAATCACCCTCCGTGTGTATATTGTTTGCATCTCCCTCTGTTCATCATCACATTCTCCCTCATTGTGTGTGTGAATTCAGTTTGTTTGTCAATTCAGCTTGTTGTTGGTCTGTAGTCAGTTAGCTAGATCCTTCCATGCTCTGTTATAGTTTAGCTTTTTTCCCCATTGCCTTTTGTGCCAGCAATAAAGCTGTGGTTTCTAGTTTTATCTGCCGCTCGCTACATGACAATACAGGTGAATTTCTCAGAGCTCATCAGCTTTTAATTAGACATGTTTTTTTGTAATATTTCAGTATCATGTGGCTTTAATTGGAGCAAATTCATTGACTGCTGTTTTATTACAGAAGCCATGTAGACGTGTTGTTCCTTCTTTTGCCCGTAAACATAACATGCACTGGCTGTCACTGTTATAACTGATACAAATTTACAAATAAAGATCTTTCACTGTAGCTTCTTAGCTCAGAATGGAAGTGCATTTTTATGAAAATGTCATTGTCTCACATATATTATCACATATTCACATATGTGAAAACACAATGGCATTCTCCTAAAAATAAGAAGAGCTCCTTTGTTTTGTTCAAGCTTAAAAACATAAAATAGTGTGATTAATGGCTCAGTGAGAACATGATGAAGGACATGGAACAGGGTTATCCATTTTGTTCCTACTCATGCCCTGCAGCAAACATTGCAAAACTTATTATTTCTCCCTGCCTGTAATCCAGTGGCTGCCTTTCATATGCTTTCAGAACTGTCCACATAAATGTGTTGTTGTGTCATCAAAGCCTCCCCACTGTGACAGTGATCTCCTTTAGAATCAAAAGTGTGTCTGATGTCACGTGATTGCTGACACTGGAACTTGGACAAAAATGTTTGTTCTAGTAGAAGTGCTCATTGATCCTCTCTATGTGGAAGAGATATTAAATATTAAATCATGTCTTTGAAGTCCAGAAAACATGCTGTGATTGCTTGTGTTTTAGGACAGAGCCGACAGTTAAATGTCACAAAAGATTAATCTGCTCACCTCCTCATCAACACAGCTCACTGCTGTGCCATCTACAGCAACTGACTGGCGTCCTGACTCAGAGTCCAAATGACCAGTGTTCATTTTGGATTTGTGGACAATTTTGACTAATTTGAAATGATTTCATCTCCTGTTTGTTGCATTTAAAATGTAATATTTTTCAACATTTTAAGGCTACAGCTGTCTAATACTTGTGTGGTTTTAACTCATGTTTACAGTTCAAAGTTCACTGGTAACTAACTGTCATCACCAGCCAACCAGCTGCTGAGTCAAATACCAACATCTGAAAAATGATCCACATTACATCGTGTGATTTTGGACATAAAGAAGAAGATCTGATTGCAGTCTTTAGATGCAGAACAAATTAAGATAATTCTAGTGCTCCAAAAAAAGTGGAATGTAAGAGATTTCAGATGCAGTTTCTGTGATTCTGCAGTGAACTAAGGGGCTGACAGCCATCGATAAATGCAGTTCACCAAAATTAACATCAGCTTAGATACTTGTGTCTCCAACAGAGAGATGAGAAGATACCTCAGGGTTTCACTTCACTAAAAAAATGAAGGGAAATCTCAGAACACTATACAATATTTATATATAGGTAATGGTTGTCATCCCTTTTGATAGCAAGATGAAATTCAGTTTTTTCAAACAAATTATCTTTACTCATCTAGAGAATGTAGTGTGAAAGACTTTTTTCCCCCTGAAAAGTATTCATGTGAATTAAAGTTCTACAAAGATTCATTTTAGTGAAAATGGGGCTTAAAATTCCTTTTTTTCGTTCCTTTATTTTTTTTGTAACGTCCTTTCAAACCACTAGTTGAAACAATGGCCTTGCAAATGCAAATGCGAGGCTGCTAACAATAAGAAAATCTACAATATCCTCCTAAGAGTTGGAAAGGAGGAGAAACAGACTTGTACAATATGTGTGTTTATGCTAGGGCTGCCACGATGAGTCGACTAGTCAAAATCGTCGATGACTAATTCAATAGTCGGCGCGTGGTTTGAAGCTTTCTAAGATCCCAAAAGACGCAGGAATAAGTAGAAGGATTTAAGAGCGTAATAACGGACTGAAACAGAAGATGGCAACACTGCATGTACAAGGATGCCAGCTGCCGTTAAACCCCGAAGAAGAAGAAGCAGTGTCCGGTATCGTAGCTGTGTCCAAATTAAGGAACCGCATCCTCCTGTGCCCGCATTAGTAGGGCGTTTATGTTACAGCGACACGACGAAGACTGTCCACATTCGAAGACTCCGACAAATGCGGCCGACAAATGCGCCCTTCATTTCCCCAGATCTGAAGGATGGGTCGGGTATATACTTCGTGGCCCATCCTTCATAGCGCAGTCCTGCTCAGTTTCCAACAATGCGGCAGCTCCTTAGTTTTAATATTACTCTTATTATTCTTTCAGGCAAGAATGTAGCTGTGTAAACTTCAAATATCTGCTCAGTTTATCAAGACACCACATATTTTCAAAAGCGCTCCAACGTTTTCGGAGACGTCTGTTACCACCAGCTTGATGCTAGCTGGGGTTCAAGGCTCACTAGAGCCGGTGAGAACACCGGACTCCCGGGAAATCGTTTTCAAACCCACCGCCGTTTTTCGCTACTCAGGTTAAACATGATATATAATACACTTAGATAACTTAGAAATGTTATTGTTTGGCTTTTTTCAGTAATTTATTTGCTCCTGAGTAAATCGGTTTGGCTGAGATTAAGTTATTACATTAAGTTTTCACACAGCTGAATAAACGTCAAGCAGACAACTGATTATCAGAAGTGTGAGATGCTCGAGAATATACTCCGGTGTCCTGTTATATGTTAGATAGCAAGGAGCATACGGCTGAGTTTATTAAACTCCACTGAAACAATCTGCAAATTTCATTAAAATTTAATAAATTATCATCTTGTCTTTATTTTAGTTAGCACATACCTTAAACACTTAAAGCTGTAAGCTAATAATAGTTATATAAGAGCAGATGCTGCTGGTGCAATAAGCTGTACATTTTACGTCCAATGGATGCATGATCTGATTAGCCAACTAATCACAAAAATAATCCGTGACTAGTCAACTATCAAAACAATCGTTTGTAGCAGCCCTAGTTTATGCTTGACTCACCTCCAGCGTGACCTCTTGCTTGGCCATAGCTCTCTCTACGGTTTCATACATCTGTGTGTTTTGGATGCCGAGACCACAGAAAATGGCAAACGCCTCCAGGAACTGGTCATCATTTCTGTTGAATGCCTTGACGCTGCCTGACACTTCATCTATTTTGTTCACCAACTGACAAACACCTACATGCAAACACAAACACATTACTGTTTATATTTGGTAATGTCTAGTATAGAACACTTCACTTTAAATAGGCCTTAATATAAGGTTAGTTCAGCAACCTTCAGGTAAGATTATGAGCTTTAGAATAACAACATTTTATCTTGTCATTGGATCAGTTCATTCTTCCAGAATTGGAGTCAATGAACAACGTCCAACAAATCTGTAAATACCTAACATCTGACTCAGGGTCATGAGTTTGCCCATAGTTATCCCATCTCATGATGGTTTGTACCAACTAACAAACAACTAGCTAATAATTTAGGTAAGAACGATCTTGAGAAAAACTTGCTGAGAAAAAACCCCTCTCTGATCAGAATTTCTTAGGGATTGCTTCCATATTAATGCAGGATCTGTACTGTCCAAATCTTATTATCATTCTGTGTTATGTAATTAATAAAAAACAAACAAGCATGTTTTAAAATGGAAACCATAGTACCAGGAGAATGTCCCTGCAAGCACAAAACACAAGCACTTCTACAATGCTACCAGTTAGTCAGTTATTTCAAAGCTTTCAATTTAACTTTATGCTTTCATTTGTTTTGAGTAGGATAATGGTCAAAGTCTACACTAATTGTAAGGCCATTAGTATTCTCCTTGCATGCATGCAACTGACTCAGGGTGCAACTCATAAAATCTAAGGTTAGCTAATGCTATAGCTTCACAAAACAGAAATAATTTATATTACTTTTAAAGAAAAACAAAACTAAGGTATTAATTGAAGACAGTGATAAGCCACTTTGTCTACAGTACATGCTGTAATGCAAAAATCTTTTCCTGATTACATTATCAAAAAATATATACAATTATTATTCCCTTTTATGTATCTGGACATAGAACACAATATTACTTTCTAACTGCTAATGCTTCAATGCTAACATTGTATTCGGGCAACAAAGCAAAGCCTACCAATGACTTTGTCCTTCTTGCCATTCCTGATGGAGTGCAGAGCAAACTCTTTATCTGATTGCTGGAGTGAGCTGGGTTTCACTCTGTGAGAAAAAGATGGATAATTACTCACTTTTGGAAAGGAAAAAAGAGAGAAAAAGAAAAGAAAAGAGTACAGACCGTCCAAGGAAAGCGCTGTCCTTGGTGACATCGGCAATGTTCAGAGGCTGCATGGTGTTTTTAACATACTGGGCGTACATATAGTTAATCTGGCTGTTATCGTGGCCCTGAGAAGAAACACCAAAGAGAAGAGCTTCACAACTAAGCATTTAGTATCAAGCTCACTTGGAATAATCCATTGAACCCTTGTGGACACTATGATACCATAGAAGGGCTATCCTCAAAACCAAACATAAAACACAAAAGAGAAAAGGCATAATATTCCCCCAAAATGAAGACATTTTCCAAGAAGCGGAAATAAATACAACATCGTGCAACAACTGTATAAAATGTTAAAACATTTGCATTTCAAGGGTTTAAGACTAAAAAAGAGCTGAAACATTATGGTCCCAGTCATGATAATTCCATCATGACTGGGACCATCTCTGCATGTGACTGTTAATTTGACTGGCTTTGCAGCCTGTGTTTTGTCACTGACTGCAATGCACTGACCATATTAGCTCCCAGTTGGAGCTGGATTCGTCTAAAAGGCTCTGTTTAATGTACAGCTACCAACAACCTGACTAATGTTGTTGGTTTCAAGTGCTCCAATGAATGTAAAACAGATGTTAAAAAAATACATTTGGGGGTGGAGTGGGATTTATTACCCTGCCAGGTTTGCCACACCCTGCTGGCAGCCTGTTGGGCAGATGGTGAAACTGGTGTTTGTCAGGAAATATTTACACATTTAACTGCACTTAAAACCAAAACTGAAAGTTCTACATTACTGTTTGTGAAAAGGTAAATAAACAAGATGTGGGCGGTTAAGTAAATGTGCCTGACGACCATTTTTAAAAAAGCATTTCTTTAACAGACACAGCTTTGTCCAAAAACTGCTATGGTAGAACGGTTTATCACATAGGCCCACATATCACTGAAAGCAGAAGACACATTTTTCGGTCACTCTTATAATTTCTTATACATTTACCAGCAACTTTGTTAGGTATATCCAGTTCATCTACTTATTAACACAAATGCGTAATAAGCCAATCAACTCAATGAATTGAGGGACGCTGATATCAAAAGATCTCCAAGCAACAGATTGGAAAAAGAAGGGGACTTGAGTGATTTTGAATGTGGCATGTTTGTTCTAACCAGAGTTTTCAGAAACCACTGACCTACTGGGATTTTCCCACACAACTATCCAGTTATACAGAGAATGATCAAAAAATAGAAAATATCCAGTAAGAAGCAATTGTCCGGGAGAAATGCCTTATTGATGCCAGAGGTCAGAGGAGAATACCCAGATGACTTTGAGTTTATAGGAAAGCAAAACACATTCAAGATATGCAGAAGACATCTCACCAAAATTATGCAACAGAGGATAGGAAAGACATTCTCTGGGTTGATGAGTCTCTGTTGCAATAGGGAGGGTCAGAATTTGGGATAAACAACATAAAATGGATTCTGCCTTGTATCAATTTTAATATTTCTGGCAGAGAAATAACAGTTATTAGTTCTAGTATGCAGTTTCTATCATACTTTGCTACTGGTTATGGGTGGCAACATTTATTATGTGGTGGTCATGGCATAATATGCATGCATAATGTGTATTAAGTATTTTGCTTCCTCAATTAATAGTTTTTTTTTTTTCTTAAAATGCGCAACCTTTTCTATTAATTCTACTAGGGGGACTTGTGGTGCTGTATCAGTACTTTGACTTTTAGAAGTAACAGCAGCCCTGAGTATTTTCAACAGCCAAAATTAGCAACAAGCAGTTAAGTAGTATGTATAGTATCAACTTGACATAGTAGTGGCACACTACTATGTATTTATACATAGTACTACTTTATATTTCAAGATCATGATAATCTTCCAATTTAGAACTACAAGTTAAATAAAAATAATAATAAAAAGAACTAACACAAATAAAATACACTTCAGCTAAATACTTTTACAATTTATTTCTCAAACCAAGGAGCCGCAGTCTAAAGACTAAAGAGCTGCAGGTTGCCGACCCCTGCTCTAGGCTAACAGCACTGAATAATAAAATAGCTGCTGGCTAATAAAAACTAGGGGAGCTAGAGAGCCGCACCTGAGTTCAGTGTGCCCTGGCTCAGACCTGGGAGCTAAAGCCATCAGTCATGTCTGTCACCACTTAATAACCCTGTTTGTTATCTTTTGTCTCTCCAAGTTTAACCACAGAGTCCAGCTATAATACTGCATGAGAAATGATGGAAAAAGGATATATAAACATGGCACAAGCTTAAAGTCAGCTAAAGTTAAAGCCAATGGATTTTGGCTGTAGTGCTGTGGTGTAAGTGGTGTGTGAGTAAGACTGGGAGGATATGAGCATGTGTTAGCAAATGACAGAAAGACCCCATGATGAGAGACACAAACTGTTAAGCATGTTTTGATGAAATCTAGCAATTATATTATGAAAATGATCAAGGATGGACCTTACAGATTTTCCTTATAGTCAACAGTGAACGTGGATCACTGGAAAGTCTTTATTTAAGTTTCTGCACCATACTGGACAGTATATAAACATTTAATGTGCTCTTTCATTTATGTTTTTCTTCATTTTAGCTACTTTCTACATTGTAGATATGTACTACAGACATCTAATATATGCGGAAAGATATATGGAATTATGTAGCAAAGAAGAAATTGATAAATAACTCTGAATATAATAATGGATTGCATTTATATAGCGCTTTTCGAGACCCTCAAAGCGCTTTACAATTCCACTACTCATTCACTCTCACATTCACACACTGGTGGAGGCAGCTACAGTTGTAGCCACAGCCACCCTGGGGCAGACTGACAGAAGCGAGGCTGCCATATTGCACCATCAGCCCTTCTGCCCAACACCAGTAGGCGGTAGGTGAAGTGTCTTGCCCAAAGACACAACGACCGAGACTATCCAAGCCGGGGCTCGAACCGGCAACCTTCCGGTTACAAGACGAACTGACAACTCTTGAGCCACGATCGCCCTAAATATGTTTTTTTTCCTTAGTTGACAGCACTACAAACCCTCGGCCTCTTTCAATGAGCTTCATGACATAGTCAGCTGAAACGGTTTTCACTTCACAGGTGTGCCTTGTCAGGACTCATTTGTGGAATTTTTGCCTTCTTAATGGGAAGATGGGAACAGTCAGTCAGTCCGGAAAGTTGCTAAACTTGAATGTGTCCCCAAGTGCAGTTGCAAAACCATCAAGCACTACAACCAAAACTGGCTCACACGAGGACCACCAAACGAAAGGAAGACCAAGAGTCACCTCTGCTGCTGAGAAGTTCATCTCAGTCACCAGCCTCAGAAATCACCAGCATCTGAGATTAGAGCCCAGATAAATGCCACACAGAGTTCCAGCAGCAGTTACATCTCTAAATCAACTGTTCAGAGGAGACTGCGCAAAGTAGACCTTCCGTGAAGACCGAGTGTGAATGCATCATGGACGAGAACGGTCTTGGATGATGGAAGCTCTTGTCCTAGGCTAATATCTCAGAGTGCTCTATCTAAAGCAGGGTCGGCAACCTGTGGCACGCGAAAGGTTAACTGATGGCACGGCCATAGCTGGACTGGCCATCAGGCATACCAGGCTGCTTGCTCGGTGGGTCGATGATTTTTTTATTTATTTTTTTGTAACGGTATAAACAATGAAAGGTGGTGGATTGGCCAGATGCCGGTCGGTGTGTAAAAACAACTCAGTTGTTTGGTGGTGGCTATGGCGTAGCTTCCACAGATTCAGTAACATTAGCAAGTGGTGGAGGCCAGCGGGTGGATGAGAGAAAGGGAGGCAAGAGGAGAGACTCGAGGCAGCCGCCGCTCCGAGTGTCGGGCGAACTGAACTTCAGGTGAGAAGTTATGACCTGCAGTCTATCTGGGTCAGATATAAACCAAGTTTAGGTGGAGTTTATGGCTTTAATACCTGGTAGGCCGGTCTCTAGTCAAAATGCCCGGTAATGCCAGTTAATGCAACATCAAAGCAGCTGGAATCCATATATGTGCGTGTTCATGGAGCTTGCATTTTCACCAGCTGGAAATCACTACCTGACAAGTTTAACTGTCCAAATACTGTCTTATTGACAGTATTTGGTTCTACATATCTGTGTGAGCAGATTTTCTCTCACATGAGTGTCCTCAGGTAGCCGTCTGAATGCTGGATGCTCGGAGTCCTGTGTCTCTGAGTGGGAGACCAGAGATCACATTAACATGTGTATCCTCTATTAACAAACATGCCATATTGGCCCAGTTTAGTTTTCTTATCATTGTTGTGAGGAGACCATAAATAGCATTTGCATTTTCTATTGTACAGTTCATTTGCTTTATGGAGTTCTTGTTATGGATAAAAAGTGTCTTTTTTTGTTTCAAAATAGCTGATAACGATTTGGGTCAAGGAGTATTTCAGTAATTCATTTTCTTAGACTAGATCTAGCAAACTTATCTACTTCACACAAGGGAAACATAACCCAGCCAAAGGAAACAGCAGAAGTAGTCTATTATAATGGGTGTAGATAGGTCATATCAGTTTGTCCAGTTAAGATATACAGAGCTTCTGGTTTTGTGTTATGTGCCAAGACCAGAGCATTTAGCATCAGTTGATGATCAGACAAGACTATCTGTCATAACTGTACAGGTAAACCTTTTACAGACCTGGTAGACCTTCTCCTGTTTGTCTATTGTAAGTTTCCTCAGGTTTCTACAGGTTTTTCACCTTTTGTGTTTCTGTTTGCCCATCAGGTCAGAGGTTTACTAGAGGGAGACTTGGGAGGAAATGGATCAGGTTAAGGACAGAAATATAATCTCTTACGTCCTTAAAATGAGAAACTCAAAATAAATAAATAAAAATTGTATACTTTCTTGATCCCTGTGGGGAAATTCCTCTCTGCATTTAACCCATTCACTCAGTAAAGCAGTGAGAAGCCACCGAATCTAGCGCCTGAGGAGCAGCGTGTAGGTACTTTGCTCAGGGGTACCTCAGAGTAGCTGTTTAGGAGATTTGAAACCCCGATGTTCCGATCATGGGACCACCACTCTCCTTACCGAGCTATTCCTGCCTCAACTGAGCTATCCCTGCCAAAGACCACAACCTTGGCAAGAGAGAAGCTTAAATCTCAAAGGAAGC